TTTCCACCTTGTGTTTTCTCTCTCAAAGCCCATTGCACTCATTCTTGGGAATATCAAAGCACCAGGTTGCTGCTTCAGAGACTGTGGCATCTCTTCCTGCTTTACTTCAGCACTTCAGTACATGAGAGACACCCTGAGTCCATCACACTCTTTTGAAAATTATTGGCTTTTAAACTGCAGACAACTTAAAAGCTAAAAATTTTAAATTCAAATCATCAGCTTCTATTACCTTTCTCTTCAGTTTCTGAAGCTTTAAAACATCTCCATCTTGCTATATATTCTTTAAAAGAAATAATAATTTTAGTTACCATTGAGAAGAAATCCTTAAGCTCAGTACCAAAACCTAATCCCTTCTTCACTGGCAGGCTTACTTATGTATTACCAGCTTTAATCACTTGAAATCTCTGGGGGGCAACTGACCCCACTAGACCAGCCCAGGGTCCTCCTTCCTGCTCTGGTAGTGCTGTGGGAAAAGGAAATGGATTTCATTTTAAAACCCATTGTGTGAATGTGTTTTTGTCTAGACTGCCTTTAGAGCTATTGTGTGTAGAAGGGGAGCCTGGCAGTGCCCTGTGGTGGGGAGATGAGGAAGATCAGAAGTCCTGTGGATCTTCACTGTCTCTCTGTGAATAATATAATATCATTTTGTTTTCCTTTATACATATAACAGCAGAAGAACCTCCTTTACAAAGTTGTGGGGGAAATTTGATAACAGCTATGCAGCCTTAGGAAAAGAAAAATAATGTGGACATATGTCATATTTGTAGATGAATTCTTCTTTGTTCAAACATATGACAAATCTTTCCAAATATTGTCTTTAGGTTGCATTCTGTTGCCAATTCAATATTGCCATGTCTGTGAATCAGTCCTTATTTCTAGTTCATTTGCTGCTGTAAGTGGTGAGATTGGTGGTTTTTTCTTCTTTTTTTTATTTATTAAGTCTGTAATACATTGGCCTTCTTCAGGTTCTTATTCTGTCAATATAATATTTTTCCTTATGTTTCTAGAGTGTCCCAAATTGCTCATAGACTCATACTGATATCATTTTCCTTTCTACTCTATTTCATATTTATATCCTTCTTTAGGCACTATTATTCATGCTCACAGGTTTTAGTGTTCCATTTTTGCTGACAACTCCCAAATCTATTTTTCGGTACCTACTGACCCAGTGCTGGCTCTCCCTTTGCTGTGTGACTGTCTTTATGACATTATGGTTCAGAATAGATGTAATCAAACTTAAGTTGCATTCAGACAAGAATGAATTGTAGCTTGAAGAGCTATCTCAATATTACTTTATATTTCTTATTTGCCATTGACTTTGATGGATGCATGCAAAGTCTTGCATGCCTCACTGTAAGATCTGTAAATAAAATATATTGTTATTGTTTCACCATGGAGGTCTTGATAGCAATTAAGTATTACAGTAGGTGGTGCATAATCATATAGAGCAGGGCCCTACAATACAATTCTTACCATCAAATTAATGCAGTTAGACAACTGGAATGGATTCAGTAGTTAAGGATGCTGGCCATGCAGCTGTCTTGTTAGTATCATGTGTCTGTTGTGAAGTCCAGTTCAACATAAAACTTCAAATAATTCAGGAAGCCTCTATGGGCACATAAATTAAGCACCCAAAATTACATGCCCAGCAGTTTCTGTGGATGCCCACCTCCCCATTGCCATCTGTGAACAGAAAGAGAAATAGTACCTGCAGAGCCTTGCAGCAGTACCTGTAAAACCAGGAGTGCTGAGAGGAAACACCTGAGATGCCATCACAGAAAATAACAGACAGGCTAGGTCATATAGAAGTGTATTTATGGAAATATGAAACATTGACCAATATGCTTAAGATGTATAACAATTAGTGGAAACTTAGCAGCCTTTTATGACACATTGCATGTTGCATGAAATCATTTGGATTTGGCTGTATAGGGAGAAACAAGATGTCTTTTTCTGCGCGACTTCCTGCATAGTCATTTATGAAGACAGAGAAGTTTCACAAATACTACTTTGAACTATCTTGCTTAAAAAAAATCTCCACAGCTCTAGTTTATAATGTTGAGGTGGTTAAAACTGGGTTCTACTTTATCATTTCCTGTGTGGTTAAATTCTGAATAGACAGTAGTTTTCTTCAAATTTTTAACTTTTGCTTCAGTCTTTACCCTTATCTTCTCTTCTATTGACCTCTTCTGTATCTCTCAAACCTGTATTGTTCATGTACATGTTCTGTGTCTCTCAAACCTGTATTGTTTGCACAGTTCCTTATCTCATCACACCTATTGAGAGACCTCTTTGCTGACTTCACTGAAAAGAATGCTTGCACATTTTGCATAGTAATTTTTTTTCCATCTGGGAGTTCTCTCTGGTTTCCTAAGGCTGGGGTTTAGAGCTAGTTCCTTTTGAAAAGGAGCTGTTACATTCATATGCTTCATTTACAAGAGTCATTATATAGGTCCACTGTTGAACGAGGTGGGTGCCCTGGAGACAGAGGATTTAAATAAGGCCGAAGTGCTGAATGCCTTCTTTGCCTCTGTCTTTACCCCTGCAGACTCTCCCTGGGGGGCCCAATATTCCTGTAGCCCCAGAAGGAGTCAGGATAAAGGAGGAGTTTGCTTTGGTAGATGAGGATTGGGTTAGGGATCAGTTAAGCAGTATGGACATCTATAAATCGATGGGTCCGGATGGAATACACCCACGGGTGCTGAGGGAGCTGGTGAAGGTCATTGCTCGGCCACTCTCCATCATCTTTGGTAAGTCGTGGGAAACAGGAGAGGTGCCTGAGGATTGGAGGATGGCAAGTGTTATGCCAGTCTATAAGAAGGGCAAGAAGGAGGACCCGAGTAATTATAGATTGGTCATCCTTACCTCCATCCCTGGAAAGGTAATGGAACAACTTGTTCTTGACACCATCTCTAGACATATCAAGGATGAGGGGGTCATTAAGAGCAGCCAACATGGTTTTACCAAGGGGAAGTCATGTTTGACCAACCTTATAGCCTTCTATGAGGAAGTAACTAGGTGGATGGATGATGGTAGAGCGGTAGATGTGGTTTTTCTTGATTTCAGTAAGGCATTTGATACTGTCTCCCACAGCATCCTCATAGATAAGCTAAGGAAGTGTGGGCTTGATGATCAGGTAGTGAGGTGGATCAAGAACTGGTTGAAAGGAAGAAGGCAGAGAGTTGTGGTCAATGGGGCAGAATCTAGCTGGAGGTCTGTGACTAGTGAAGTCCCTCAGGGGTCGGCGCTGGGACCAGTGCTGTTTAATGTTTTCATCAACTACCTGGATGAGGGAACTGAGTGTACCCTCAGCAAGTTCGCTGATGACACTAAACTGGGAGGAGTGTCTGACACACCAGAAGGCTGTGCTGCCATTCAGCGAGACCTGGACAGGCTGCAGAGTTGGGAGGGAGAAACTTGATGAAATTCAACAAGGGCAAGCGTAGAGTCTTGCATCTGGGGAAGAACAACCCCATGTACCAGTACAGGTTGGGGGTTGACCTGCTCTAAAGTAGTGAAGGGGAAAGGAACCTGGGGATCCTGGTGGATAGGAGGATGACCATGAGCCAGCAATGTGCCTTTGTGGCCAAGAAGGCCAATGGCATCCTAGGGTGCATTAGAAAGGGTGTGGTTAGTAGGTCAAGAGAGGTTCTCCTCCCCCTCTACTCTGACTTGGTGAGGCTGCATCTGGAATATTGTGTCCAGTTCTGGGCCCCTCAGTTCAAGAAGGACAGGGAATTGCTTGAAAGAGTCCAGCGCAGAGCCACAGATGATTAAGGGAGTGGAACATCTCCCTTATGAGGAGAGGCTGAGGGAGCTGGGTCTCTTTAGCTTGGAGAAAAGGAGACTGAAGGGTGACCTCATCAATGTTTACAAATATATAAAGGGTGAGTGTCAGGATGATGGAGCTAGGTTTTTTTCAGTGATGTCCAGTGACAGGACAAGGGGCAATGGGTGTAAACTAGAGCATAGGAGGTTCCATGTGAACATCAGAAAAACTTATTTACTGTAAGAGTGACAGAGCACTGGAACAGGTTGCCCACGGGGGTTGTGGAGTCTCCTACGTTGGAGATATTCAAGGCCTGCCTGGACAAGTTCCTGTGTGATGTACTCTAGGTTACCCTGCTCTTGCAGGGGGGTAGGACTAGATGATCTTGTGAGGTCCCTTCCAACCCTTGGGTTTCTGGGATTCTGTGATTTAACTGTTCTTCAGATTTCTGCATTGTACTTCTGAACATCCAAGTTCAGGATTCATTCAGGCTTTAAAATATTTCAACATGATTTACAGAGCAGTTTGAAATCAATTCACTATTGAAACACCAGCATTGGCCCAATCTGTAAATTTTTATTTTCCAAAGAATTGTGCTTAAAATTAGGGACATCTCTTCCAGCAGTAACAAGATGAATGGCAAAGGAAGTTAGACTCAAGAGGTGAGAAGTTCATGGTCATTTTACCCTGCTATTCTGAGGAAACCTGGAAGGCAGATGTTGTGGCTTGTAAGAACTGGCCTCATTCTCCTTATCAAAACCTGTTGTGCGTTGACATGTGTAAGTAGATGGCTGGAAGGCAGAGGGAAAACACTTAATACCTGGGAAAAATTTACAGAAGAGCTTTTCTTTCAAGGAATAAAGTGAATATCACTGCCTGGGAGTTGTCCCTACAGGACATGGAGTCTGCCTCATGGGAAGGGGACTCAGATCATGGAGGGGTTGCAACATCTGAGGTAGTAATGTGGAGGCATTACTGAACATTCAGCCTTATTAATGGCATTCAAATCATTCTTGCCTTCTTTGATTTTAATCTTTTGGTGTATTTTCATTTACTTTTTGTCTTCTGGCCTGTTTGTTTAGTTTCGAAATGTGATCATTCCCTAATCAGATATTTTTTGAGACTATCTGTAGCTTCATGTTGTTTACAAGGAAGATGTTGAGCATTGAACAGTGGATGCCTTTTACTATCTTAACCTTAATTTCTTGTATGTTTGCTTGTATTGTTCCAGAGTTAGTTGTTTAATGAGACATCTTGAGCCACACAGCAGTTCAGCTTTCATCATTTGAGACTGAATAGTGACTATCCCTGTGAAGCCATAACAAGTAAGCCAGTTCTGGTTCTTTTGAGTAGCTGTAGGGGTGAAAATCTCTCAGTGGTATCAAAATATGTTGTTCTCTTCAATTTGGTATAAATTAATTTACTAGTGTACTTAACAATTTCTCTGAGATAAGTGGTAGCTCCTCTATCTTAACTTCTCGTTAATTTGCACAAAAATTATAACACAGTGAACATTTGGCTGCTGAGAATTTTCTAAAATGAGTATATGGTAATTGTTTGTAAGTCCATGGAATTTAATTAAACTGTGTTTAAATATCTTAGAAATTGATGACTGAAAATCAGCTAAATAAAAATATTTATGAGTGGGTACATAAATATGCATCCGTGATTAGGAAGCATGCTGTTTACAATGCTGGGCTCGTCTGCTTGCAAAGGCAACATCTAGTACAGCATGTCTCTGATAATTACATTTTGGCTTAATAAACAGAAATGGGAAGGATGCTTTTTTTAATTATGTTAATGCTTTCTTTTTTGATGGATTTCACTAACATGGTGCAGAGAGAGATGTTTAGTTTTTACATTTCAGGGGCAAGTGTAATAACTAGATTTTCAGAAATGAGGGGTGTTAAAAGAAGGAACAAGTTTTCATTCTTTGTGTAAAAATGTGGAGCATATTTCAAACCTGCTCTATCCTCATGAGATTTCTGAAAGGCACACTGAATTGATTGTATATCAGAAGCATGTCTTACTTTTATTTGTCAATTTTCATTCTGGAAGATTTTGTCCATATCAAAATTATTACACTGATATGTCATTGATATGTGTATCTCATATATATGAGTACATATATATGGATATTATTTACACCCCCTCCTTCCATCTTTTCTCTGGCTGTGTTTGTACTGCACTTAAGGGCATAGACATCTAAAATTAGTTTTCACGTCTTGCTTATGCATGAATGAAGCAATGTTTACATGAACATGAATGAATTCATGCTTAGCTACAGCACCAACCCTCTAAGTTTGCACTGTTCCCTGTATATCCACTGGGCAGCTGACCTGCCATAATTACTGTGTTGCAGCCATTTTGGTGTGGTGACTCATGCGCATACAGCTTCTCCCCAGTTTAAAGATCTTCATCTTGGTCAAAATTTTGCTGCAGGTGTGAAGGAAGGGACTGGATCTAACCCAGGAATATTTATTTTTCCTCTTTTTTTTCTTTTTTTTTGTCTTACACATTTGTAAAAAGCCATGCAAGGTGAGGCTTTACACACACTTCTAGTAATGGGGTTTTGACAGTCTTTAAAATGCTTTGCTAAAAAAAAGTCCAATAGAGCAGGACATTGCCAGGGATTTATCAGCGTAAATTGGATTTCTGGATTCAAATTAACTTTTCAGAAATGTCACAAAGCAGTCACAAAAGAAATGTAGTTCTGCTCTGGTTAGACAGAATTTATTCCTTGTTGTTATTTAAAGAAAAAAAAATAAAACAACAACAAAAACCCCACAACAAAATAAAAACAAACAAAAAAAAAACATTTAAATCACTTGCTTCAAGACACAAGCAGAGTGATTTTTACACTAAGAACAAAACCAGCCTTCTGAAACAGTCATAATTCTTTTCACCAAAAGAAAATGAAAGGGAGCACAAGCTTCTTCCTGGAGAGTTTAGAAGTATCACTTTCTGACTTGATTCTTAGATAATGGGAAATTGTATTGACCAGTTCAAGCTGAGTACTTAGAAGGAATGCTGGAGTCTCCATCATGGCCTATTTTTATTCCACACCAAGTTTATTTATAGCTGAAGCAGAAAGTTGCAATTCTGCAGCCATAGCCTTTTTTTCTTTCTTTTTTTTTCCCCTCCTTTTTTTTTTTTTTTTTTAAGATATATGAATATCAGTAAGCTGTAGAACAACGAACACTAATGAGAAGATGCAGTGCCTTCCTGTGCAACAACCACGGTAATCTGTGTGATAAATAAGAAGTTACTCATAGATGCCTCTACTGTTCTTTTCCTCTTCATTATTACCATGTAAATTTTTGTATTCTGTTGGGATTTGTGGGTATTTCTTGAGCTGCAAGAACAACTGAATGACCTGAAGTTCAACAGTGCCGCTGTGTGTACATACATATGTATATGGATACTTAGAGAGAGAGAGTATGCTCTTGGCTTCCTCACTTGTCACCTTTCATGTTTGGGTCTCCTTCTTAAAAAATTAAACCAATTCTTGATGTTCAGGCATCAGCTCTATAATTTCCTGAGTCATACCCACCTGTCAGGAGCTGGAGGAACAATGCATTAATCTGGTAACAATAGTTTCCACAATCTAACAACCCCTTGTACAACACGAGAGGAAAGAACAGCTGACAGCTTAAAAGTGGTAGGGAAAAAGGTCTGTTCCTGTGTTGTAAAGGCCTGAAAATCTGTGTCAGAGTCATTTCTGCATTTCTACAGAGCCCAAGTGAGTTCACTGCTCCTGTACAGAGATTGCAAAACTAGGGCAGTTAAAAAATTGGGTAAAATGTTTTGTCAAATAATAATGGATACCACTCTGCTTGCTATACATCTTGGTAAGTAATTTAAAAATGTATTCACAGGGAAAAAAGTGGTTAACAGTGTTATTTCCAAATTTTAATGAGATTCCTAAGGGGCACAGCAATGCATAGTGATATATCTCATTATCTCATTAGACAACTTGAGCTTACATCAGGAGGAATTTGGATTAAACCAATGCCCTCTCTGAATCAAGGGACCTGGCTTCAAGAAATGGTAGGCGGGGAGAAGATGAGTTTTCTTGGCATTTGTTATTTCTCCTGTGTTAGGGAAAACTTAGTTGCAATTAAGAAAATGAAGCCCAGTGCATGATGCTACCAACATCAATCTGGGGCTGTTTATACATCTACACTAATTAAGAAATGAGAAGATTTCTTCTTTCAAGAATGCTGTTGACAACAGTGTGAGTTTACAAAAGCTGGAATATAAAATTGATAGCATTGTGCTTTCAAAGCACACACTGCAGCAGGCACAGGATCCTGGGCAGCTTTCTAAAGTGTTTCTTGTGAATTGAAAACATCACAAAAAATTAATAAACTTAAGTAAACAAAGCATTGAAAGCAAACAAGAAGCAGGGGGTAATTTTAAGAAGTTTGTCAAGGCTTCTGTTAAACTGATGGAAATTAAATGAGTTGGTTCCAGTGATGAGCAGGGAAAATAGCAGAAACCCTATGTAGGGAGTTAAAAAGAGGGTAAAGGTCCAAAAAAAAAATAAAATTGGGTTTATAACATAATATTTATATTCTTTATGTGATGAAAGGATTTGAAGGCCTGACTGTTGCTCTGAACTTAACCTGAAAGTCATCTTCATTCCATGGTATATGACCTGTTTTTTTTTTCTTCTCTCGCCCATATTTGAAGATGCTCCAGCAAGTGCAGAAAGGTAGCTGGGTCCAGCACGTTAGCAGGACACACATGGGTCACAGTGCTTAGAAAAGCTTCTGATCATGTACAGTGGATATTTTTTGGGCTAGCACTTCTCCTGCCCATCCCAATTAAATGGACTGATGGCTGCTTAGTACCACTTCCTTTAGTCTTTCACAGCTGTTTTAGTAAATTTATCTGCAACCATGAGGAGATGTGGCTCTTGAATAAGCATCAAATGTACATAAACTGGTGGAAATCAGTGAGATTTTTGGTCTTAGCCTATGTCTTCATTTTTTTAAATCTGCTAAGTGCATTAAACTCCAGACAAGCTGCTGACCCTGTCTGCTGGCATTTCAGTCCTGCAAAAACACTCTGATATGTCAACACCAAGAGCAAATACAAAGAAAAAAATGTTTACCCTTTTAGTTTGCTTTATCAGCTTTATTGATTTCTTGATAGAGTGCTCTGAAGATATCTCTTTTACATCAAAAAGGAGACTCATGTGTTTCAGGAGGCTTTAAGCATGTGCCCCACTGAAGCAGGTCTCTCTGTCCCAGGACCTTTGACGTTTGAGGGCTGAACACAGTTTTCAGTGATCATCACTTGCATGGTAGGCAGCTTGTGTGGTAGGTATTCTGTGATTCTGCTCATACTCTGTGCTTACGGTTTTGTGTGTTCATGGGGAAGATAATTGCAAACATTACTGTACCTGCCACTTCCAGTCCAGTGAAAGGAGACAAATATATTTTCTGAGGTCCCATTTGCCCTTTGCATAAAAGAAGCACATCATGCGTTTGCTACTGTAGACAACACCCATCTGCTATGTGCCTTGGTTTCTAAGTTAAGTGAAGGAAGGTTGCAGATATGAGGAGTTTGGGTTTTACTCTCTTGTTGCTATATATTGCCTTGCTACATATTGCCTTGTACAAGCATTCTGTTGTACAGCAGAGTGCAATCAATTCCCATTTCATTTCCCACTCATCCTGTCCACACACTGCTAGATCTGGAAGATGTGCTCACTACTGACCATATAAATGTGCTTTACCTTCCCCTGGCTGCTAAGAGCTTGTAGGAAGATTCATCTGTTGAAAATAGTTTCACTTCTATTTGAATCCTTAAAAATTCATATCCCTTCTGAAAAAGATACTAAACTAATGCTATATTTCCCTTACTGTGCACATGCTTTGAATGTTTATTGCAGATGTCTATAAAATGGTGATCCTGATGTTGTTAAATATTTGACTATGGAAGAATTAAAGATGACCCGAATTTAAAAAGTTTTGCCAAATAGTCTGTTTAATGTTTGGTGGAACTATGGATGTTATAAGAGTATTTTTAATTTTTAGAATATTTTTCTTCTAAGAAACTCAGTCTAGGTACAGCACAATTTGTCAGATGTCTCCTCTATAAATTCAAGGATAACAAAATTATCCTGGGGCATGCATAATAAAATTATAGCTCCCATCACCAGAATGCAGCTTCTTTGGAGGTAAAATATAACAGCTAAACATACATCAACATTGCAGGGGAGAGTAGACATTTTGTCTGATGCCAAGAGACTCAAGGGAGCTCAGACCTGTTAATACAAGTACTTCTGAGCCCTGCTTCCTGATAGTGAAGGTGAGAGATTCATATGTGAGCCAGGATCACATTTAACCAGTATTTCATCAAATATGCTGTTTTGCTACCACTATCTGCTCCTGACCTTTGCGAACATATGAAAAGGAGGATTAAAATTAACTGTCATTGCTTTATGCTGCTGCTTTTGCTCTTTTTCTTTTTTATTTTCTTTCTTTTAAGGACTTGCAGTATCAAATTATCAAAACCCAAATTTTATAAACATATTTTTGGAGGAGTGGGTTGTGGGGGGGTATTTTTGTACAAATATCTCTTCAGGATTCTGCTTTGTGGTCCAGCAATAAAAGAACAAAACAAAACAAAAAAGACCCCAACCAATTCCCCCCCCCAAAAACAAACAAACAAAAAAAAAACAACCAAAAAAAACCAAAAACCCAAAAAAACCCAAACAACAACAGAACCACCAAAAATCCAAAACCTAAACAACAAACTGAAAACCAACCAACCAAAGAAGCCCCTTTCAAAATCGTAGGGAAAGCTGCTGAGCTTTAAACATCTGGATCTAGATGACTTTTAGGGTTATACTGCAGCATAACTTTCATGGTAACAAGAAATTAGTAAGTAATGAAAATGGTTAAAATTATTTGAAATTGAGAGATATGGAATCTTCTGAATTTGTCTTATGGGATCATCATCACAGCTGTTGGGAGCTCTCATTTCATGAGTAGGAGTCTGATTTTGTACAATTCCGTTTTTTGACTTCAGTTGCTCAGGATCAGGCTATGGAGATTGGAGATAGAAGCCCTATTGGGAGTCCTATCTCTATTGGAGATAGGAGTGTTATTTTTGTCAATAGCAATCACTGCTAGTGAGATGTATCTCTTAGTTTCATTTGAATTTTAAAATATATTTAAAATTTTTAAAACTTTATCACCAGTGTCTGAAGCTAAAAATAAGGCACAAAGTATGAGACATATTTGGAAATTATGCTTTTGAGATAGAGTAGATAAAGGGTCTGACTGTAAGTGGAAGAATGATGTCAGTGTCATTGCAGTAATTGAATTAGTAAATAAATATGCAGGTGATTAGAATTCCCAGTGCTGTTAATTATTTCAGCATTTCTTCCTGCAGTATGGGAAAAATATGTATTACTTTCACACTCAATTTCAGTTCTGTGAATTAATGGCTTTCCTTGCACAAGAAGAGAGATAACGGGATATTCATTGTTTGCTTTTCATTGAGGGATAAGTACTTACTCTAATAGGTTTCTACTGGTGTATTACTGGGTTTTGTGAAAAAACTAGTAATTCTCCCTGTAAACTGTCAGTTGAAAACACTGGCTGGGGACTTGTAACTGTATTTTGTTAGTGTTTTAACGATACCATTGTCATTATTATGAAAACAGTTTATACCACAGTGAGTTTTCTTGAACACACTTAAATTTCTGTTAGAAAAATATTTGTTTGGCCCTCAAGAGCCCGGGTGAGCTCCCGGGGGCTCTTGGCCAGTGGGATGAACTTTTGAAGTAGCTGCAGGGAGCATGGAAAGAGTGGTGGTTCCTGGTTTTATTGAGGGGAGCCTTGGGTGACAAATTTGTACATTACAGTGAATGGACAGATTTCCAGCACCATATTCTGTGTATGTGTATTTAGAAATATGTATACAGAATGACATATATAACCTGGTTAGGCTGTATCACAATGGAAATATCTGCATGTTTTCTACATTTTCCTGTGCTTCGTTGTTTTACATGGAAAAACAGAAACTGATTTATTCATGTGTTAAGCTGTATCAGTGGCTATTTTTCATAAAATATGAGACTACAGTATTATTCTGAACTCCCCCCCCAATCCCTGATCACAAACTAAAATAGGTTGCTTATGCAAGTTTATGAAATGATCCAGCTCATTATTAATAAACGTAGACCTGTCAGACATTAAGCGCACAGGCAGTAATGAGCACATTCCCTGGCAGACTAGCTTTCACGTACAAAAAACACTCCATGTATTAAATATGCACTTGAGAAACACTATAGTAAATGTTACAGTTGTTTTAGTCATATGCTGCTGAGAGTATTCTGTAGTTTAAAGCTCAATCACATGTTCTCTAAGGAAACCCACTGATACCTAATTACAGGAAGGTTACAAAAGATAATGACAATGTGATGAATTACAGAACCTGTATAACTTATTAGCACAATTTCCTTCTATGAATCAAGACATTTAGGTGAAACTTTAAG